CGTCCGATCATTGAGAGATTTTGTTCTTTAAGCACTAGAGGCAGGAAAACAGGGATTACATTTTTGCAATGTATATAGCTAGGCTCTCTCTCATTCGTGCCTTGAGTCCGGTGAACAATTTCCTCCCATAGTCGGTGATCATAGTCCACATCAAGAAATGGTCGTCTGAGTTTTGCCACCTAAATACTAAAGCCGTTCCGCCAAGTATTCACTCGCTGAGTGGAATAAGTCTACTTTAGAGTCGCCTCTTGCGACTCTTCTATCCTCTTTATCGTCGAGAAAGAAGCATAGCGATTGCGTACGGACATGTGTGAAAATGAAACCCCATTTATAGACCTTTAAGTCTTGACTACTTCCAGTTGTGCTAAGGTATTCGGATAACATAAGATTCGGGCGCACCTTAGGGAATGGCTGCGCTGCTAATTGATAGTGACCGGCTAAGATTTCTAATTTGTTCCGCTAAATCTTCTTTTTCTTCCCCACTACCCTCAGAAATGTTTATTTTATCTACGCGGCCTAGTATGTAATAGACGAGTCCCAATTCGTTTCATTTCGTTTTTATCTGTCTCATCAGCCACTTCCACCAGTTCTTTTAATGTAGCCAATTTGGTTTGGAACTGAATTAATTCTTCTGATGCCCTTAAATCCAAATAAATGTCCTCTAATTCATCACTTCATGTGAGTGTCAAATGCTTTAATTAAGCGTTTTCTTAAGCTTTCTTAATTAAGCCTTCGCCAGATAGGCCTCTTATGATTAGTTCAAACTCGTCTTTCAAAAGCCTGTCCAGATGGCCGTGAAAGAGTTTGGAGAAGGCCTGTAGAACGGTATAGTCGGTGCTGCACGTTAGAAACTGAGCCATGTTCTGGGGGCGGCATATTGTGGGAGGCACATACCGAGTTAGTGCCAATCCTAGGAGGGGCCTTGAATGCTTTAAGGTATGTAGAATTGATTCTTGAAGATCATGTAGTGCCTTTTATGCCGTTCATAGGCTCTGAATCGTGGCTCATGCATGATAATGCCCGTCCTCACAAGGTAAGATGTTTCTGAGTACCTGAACACCACAGATATCCACACCAATGATTGGCCAGCAAGAAGTCCCGACCTTAACCCAATCGAGCACGTTTGGGATTATCTCAAAATAAAGGTTCGGTCACGAGATCCACCTCCTACTACCCTTGAAATGCTAAAGCCAGCTGTATTGGAGGAGTGGTACAATATACCCCAAGGTTTTCTTCAAAACCTTTTTACGCGTATGCCAAGACGAGTGGAAGCAGTCATTAAAGCCAGAGGGGGCAATACGTCTTATTAAATGTAAATTAAAATTTAAATTGTAATTTAAAAGTTAAAGTTGTAAAAAAGAAAATTTTAAAAAGTAAGTTTTCTAACTTTTTTGTTTATTGGTAGAAATATTGTAATTTATTTTAATAAAACTTGTTTACGTTCAGTTTAAAAATGTTTATTATAGACTTCAGAACCTTTTTTTATTATGAAAAAAATAGTTGTTTTCGTAAAATTCAAATATTTCAGTGTTGCGATACTTTTGACGGGGAGTGTATAATGTTCCTAGGCTCAATTTTAGAAATTGAAATTCATTCTATACAAATATGGCTGTGACTAACTATATTAAACGTAGCCCTTGAAACCGTTTGATGACGGAAGGGAATTTGTTATCTTTTGACAGCATATATAAACTTAAAAAAAGTTATTGTAAATTACATTAAGTTAATTCATTGTAATGATTAATAGTATAAAATGTATAATTGTGGAAGTTCCTGTAATTGAATAAAACTAACGGAAAAACGTTGGAAGTACGAAAATCCACCGAGCTATCTACGATATGTAAGAAGAAAAGCGGAGGAAATTTTTTTGAGTTGTTTCCCATCTAGTACAGTCCAAAACTAACGGAAAAACGTCGTTAGTAAGAAAATCCATCGAGCCCTTTAGGAGATATAAAAGGAAAAGCGGAGGTAAACTCGAAATTTTTTTTTTGACTTGTTTGCCATCTAGTACGGCCCAAAACTAACAGAAAAACGTTGGAAGTAAGAAAATTCATTGAGCCGTCTAGGAAATATGAGAGAAAAAGCGGAGGAAAACTCGTAAAAAATTTTTTCACTTGTTTCCCTTCTAGTACGGTCCAAAACTAACAAAAAAACATTGGAAGTAAGAAAATCTAACGAGCCGTCTAGGAGATATAAAAGGAAAATTTAGTTGCTAGTGCTGTATGGCTTAGAGTAAATAGTTAAACGGAGAAAACTGTAAAACCGAAAATATCTCTGAAACGTCCGTACATATCGGGCTGAATACCGCACAGCAAGTAAACCTGAATACCGCACATCGTGTGCAGTACCCAGCCGTTTAAAAATGCCAGTACCAATCGACCATGTATCTCTAAAATATTCATTTTAGTAATAAACCCGAAACACAAAAAAAAAAATCATCAAAATTTGCTTATATGTGGTTTGAGAGAGTGTGTCAATTAAAGGAGTGAGTACTAGGTGTACGTTTCTGTTCTATTTATTTACTAATTTTTCGTTCGTACATGTACACAAACCAATTTAAAAAACAAAATTATAATAAGTTACAGCATTTATTGGGTTTAGTGTTCTGACAGTTTGATTACTAATATTTAGCAGCAAAACTTTCATTTGAAACAGTAATTATCAAAACGGGAAAGAAGTAATAAGTTGTTTTATAAATGAACAATATTATTGTGATATCAAAGACCGTCCAGGCTAAAAGTTTTCCACATGTATATTTCTAGGTTAATATGGGAATACAAAATACACAACTTTTATTGTTATTATTTACTACTTAATCCCCTAACTAAGGAAATGAAGTGTTATAATTCTACACAGTAAACCCCCCCCCACTTATTTTACTTATTACCAGATCAGGTCCTAATTCCATTAATTAATTCAATTAAAATGTATCTTCATTTCTTCACACTGTTCATTATAATGCCCAAGTAAAGTTGATGTAGTTATACAAAACAAAAATAATTTGTTTTTATTTACTAGCAAAAAAATAATGATAAAAACATACCTGAAAATTAAGTACACTGGAAACAAACATTAAAGTTAGAAGGAAATCAATACAAATGCTAAATTTGCATAGGGCCCGTCTAAATTTTCATCAAAATGACACTAGAAAGCTTAATAAGGTATAAGTTTGAAAAAACAGGCAACAAAAGATTAAGTAATACATAAATTTGATTAAATTAAGAGCACAATTTTCAAATAATTCTACGAGTCATGCTTTTCACAAGAGTATGTTACCAAAATTTATAAGAAACAAACCTTAATTAATTCATGTGCATTTGAATTTATTTATTATCAAATTTATTAAAGATGTATTTTTTCACTTATAGATAACTGCTATTTTAAAGCACCAAATTTCACTAGCACAATTCAAATACAACAATATTTTTTCTATATAAAAAACTCATAAGGTTAAGTTAGGTAAAAATTAGACAAATGTAAAAACAATTTTTTTCTTGTATTAAAAGAAATCAATTAGTTTGTAACACAAACTATAAAATAAAGAATACATTGTTTGCATATAAAAGGAGAAGTTAAGGGTACAGGTAATGGTAAGTGTCAATGGAACTGTTACAAAGAGTAAAGCATAAAAGTTAAATGTTCTGATCAGAAGAAATGTTACAAGATTAAAACAATTTCACCCACTCAAAGATATAACCCAATGATATTACAAGAAATTAGTCAATTCCCACTTTTTATTCAAACCACACAAAAACAAATTGAAAATAAAAATTTCCTTATATCACAGAAAATAATCTTAAAATTTGTACATTGGTTTAGTTTGCAAACGACAAAATATTACATTAAACAGTATTACAATACATGTTGTTATGAAAACAAACTTATCGGTAATAAAGATGGATAACACAGAACCAGACATCAATCTTTAACATGGACAAGAGCAATTCGTATAAAAGAAGAAGGACGATATATTTTTTCAATCTGAGATTTTTTTTTATCATAATACAATGTACCAAATCTCTTATGTAGAACAGGTATGTCTGAAAGAAAATATGAATAATTTCGATGTAATGTAATATTAAATTGTTAAGTAGCTTGATATATTTTCTTGTGTAAATTAAATTACGTTTTTACATTAAGTTTAAAACTAAGAAACTAAAATATCATAAGCCCAATTGTTAAAAGGACAATGCCTAAACACAGAGAATTTTCAAATCGTCAAATTTTATTATTTTTGAAAGCTCAATTCAGAAATTTTTTAAAAACTATAAAATTAACCAATATTATTGGTGATTATTATTGGATTTTTACCAAATAAAAATTAAATGCTTTAGTAATGTTGTTTGTTTTAAATTGACAATCAAAGCCTAGTTAAACTCAAACAATTAAAAAACTTTTTATTATATTACATATTTTGCTTCACTCAGAATGAAAAAAAATTTATCATTAAAAGTGGTTAAAAATAAATAAATAATAAACTAAAATGGATTTGTCCAATTTTGATTACATGTTTTTTAAAAATATAAATTTGCTAATATAATTGAATTTGGTATTTATCATAGTGCAGGTAACACAATATTCGTTAACCAGACAGCCAATGAAAATAAAAATTCAGCAGTGATTTGAACTTAGTGATTTTCCCTCTTGGATGAATGATATATGGCATTTTCCAATCATTTTGCATTTGAACAAAGTAAATTGTTAAATTCTTAATGTAAAAAGATGAAATTTAACTAAAATTTGATAATATAAGCTTAAATTGTCAAATTGAGTTTGTGTTTGATGATTTAAATATATACAAATACAAAATATACATGTTTTTTGTTTAATTTATTTATGCTAAAAATTATTTAATAAATTTAAATACATATACACCATTTTTAGTAACATAAAAATCAATTTAAAATGTTTTCCTGAAATAAATGAAATTAGCCCTAAATTTTTAAATAAATATTTACAAAATATATTAATGGATGTAACTTTTTTTTTGTTTTTTGAGAAAAAGAACAAAAAAATGCAGGCTTTACAATTTTTATAACTGAAACAAACTGGTCATTGGGATAACACATTTATGCAGCCGTCTAATCAGACAAAAATTAAAAAAAATTAATACCTGCAATTTGTCTCATTTTTCCCAGTATAAATTACATTGTGCTGATGCAAAAACCCTAATAATATCACCATAATTAAATCAGAAATATTTATCTGGACATTTTAAGATTTTTAATATATGAACAATAAATATTGAAAAATAAACAATTTACCAATGGAATCCGAATTCCACAAACAATAATTTATTACTCCATGACAATTAAAAATAGAAAATAAATAAGAAAGAGAAATCGCCGTTATATTAAATATATGTAAGAGGCCTGCAATACTGTTCTATGCCAATGACCAAAATAAAAATGATATTTAACTATAAACAGTTTGTATGTTTACATTACTTTTAAAATAATGACATATCCATAAGCATTTGTTGGATGTATATATATACAAATAGAACTTCTCTATTTTTTTAACCTCAACATTACAGGCATAAAATAACATAATAATGAATTTAATTTTAAATGTTCCTTATTATTTTGTTGTATGATTGCCTGATCAATAAACAATCTTTATTACAATTCACTCAGAAGTTTCATCCAATTGTTTCACAGCCTTTTCTTTAACTTACTAAATAAAATTGTAAAAAGACTGAATGCCTTAGAGTTTGTAATAATTACATTGATTGTAATGATTATTATTACCTGTTGTGTTATGTAGTTCATTGTCAGGCAACCACCATTACAGCTTAGTGGACATTTAATTTAATGTTTTTCATTGCAAACATTGAAGTACTTCTTCCATTATATGCTTACTCTGTTTGTTTAATGTATTAATTTTAAAACAAACACAAATATTAGCACGCTTTCAAAATGATGAAACAATTTCGGCATGGAATAAAAAGTGAGACTGTAAAACGACCATCATGATTCTCCATTTCCACTATCATCACCATCTTCAAAGTCATCTTCTGACATTTCTTCATCATCATCTTCAATGTGATAGTCATCTACATAAAAATCTGTCATGTCCATGTTTTGTTCTGGGGCCCTTACTCTAGTTTTTATGCAATAATCTTCCAGTGTCATAGGTATTTCCACACCATCTTTTTCAGCTTCTGCTCTTCCACCAGAGACTTGTTTTCTGTAATGGAAAAGGCAAAAATCAATCTTTTTTTTCAATTTTAAATAATTTACAAAAATAATATGGATAAAATCAATCTATAAAATAATTTCCCACATTTACGTTAGGTAACAACACAATAGACCCTTCCCTATATACAAATACCATTCCACAAAGAAAACCCCTTTTTCGAAGCTAGTTGTGAGGTGTTGGTTAAAGAAAGAGAAATTGCCTTAAAATTGAAATTAATTTTTTCCCCTCATAATAGGTAAGTTTTATATCATCACGCTGTGAAATACTCATCCTCTCTTGATGGTAAATTTATCAAATACACTATCTCCCTACAATATATATTTTTTTAAATTTATTAAGACTTAATGTCTTACTTAGTGTCAGTAAGTAGAAATATACAATTAGTCAATTTTTTAATAATATATGGGTGGGCATATGTAAATATTGAGTGGGTAAACCATAAATATTGCTGATTTGCCTAACCTGACCCTCACATATGGACGTACTAAAAAAAATCTAAAAAAGGCAATTATTTAGCAAAATTTTAATCAAGTGTCCTTTAAAACCTTAAATAGATTTACAAATTCTAAAAAAAATCCATATTTCTGGAGTGCCTTAACAAATCAGTGCCACAATGAATGTGTTGTCCAATTTTCACCAAATGATTACCTTATTATATTTTCGTATTCTTTATCTTTTCCTTTCGAATCTCTCCACCTGCGGTACATCACTGATGCATCAACATTAGCGGGACTGAATGTGTTTGGTTCATTCAGCAAAGAGATCACCGACAACAAAATTGTTCTGAAAAATAAAAAATGAACAACTCAACTGAAACTCACTAAAAAATAAAAAAGGGCACACTAGATGCATATACAGGGTCAGCCAGATTTCAATGCATCTTTTTATATAATTAAAAGCTGTACTATGTTTTTTCTTGTTGTAATTTAAATTAATTGTTTATTCAGAGATTGTGAGATGCGGTCTGCTGTAGCGTAGGTGCCCACGTTTCCATCTTTATTGAGATCATATTCAGGGCCTGGGATTTATAAACATTGTTTAAATTTTACAAATAAGTGTACGATGTGGAAACATGAATTTATACAATGATAGAAATTTTAGATTAAAAAAAATGAATTTATACAATGCTAGAAAATTTTAGATTAAAAAAATATATAATGAATTTATACAATGCTAGAAAATTTTAGACTCACTCAAAGTGTTTGTTTTCCATGTAGATGTGTCATTCTTGTCTGTCGTGTTGAGAGTGCCAGTGAGAGATATTGATGTTTTACGTTTGTATACGTTGGATTTTGAAGGGGTGGGGAGGGAATTCGGGAATAGAAAGACATTTTTTATATGAGGAGTCGGCTTCTTTGAGGTGAAAGGAGCCAACAGTAGGAAAAAAATGGGGAAGGGTTCGGCCTGATTATCTTTTCAGGATTATATAGACGGGGATAATTTGGAAAAGGAAAGTGAAATTGTTGAAGAATTAGACTATGTAGAAATGTTTGATGTATTGAATGGGAAGTTGTATTATATGTTTCGTGTAATGTGATGATGCATGTTATCGATATTGAATTTGATTAATGATATTAGCATAGCTGTGACTGAGTTTACATGTGAGTTCTGTAATTGATGTTGTTTATCTCCGTTGATGTAAACCATTTCTAAAAAGTTGCGTTTGTTTGTTTTGTTCTGTGTTTAATATTTTTGGATTGTTGAAGTTGTGTTGGTGTTCAAAGTGGTCGGTAGCCAGTGCTGTAGGATTTTGTTTGGGCTTTTTGCAGTCATAGATATGTTGCTTTACTCTCTTATCCACATATTGGGATGTAATACCGATGTAAGTTGCTTGACAATTTAATCAAATGATTTTGTAAATTACGTCAGATTTATTTGTTACTGGTGTGGGATTTTAATTTTGGAAAAAAGTGTGTGAAGAGTGTTTTTGAAAGCTATTTTAAAGTTATCGGAAGAGAGCTTCTTGAACAAGAGCTTCTTGTTCTTGTGGTGAAATGATTTATGGCTTAGGGTAATAATTGCGTGAATAACCCTTTGGTCGTGTTTATTATTGTACGAAGAGGATGGTGAGATGTAAAGTTGAGATAGCGATCTGTGTTTCTTGGTTTTTAACACCAGATACCAATCTGTGATTAATGTGCCATCTGGTTGTTTTATTACGATTGTATCTAAAAATGGTATTGTTTTGTTCTTTTCACCTCAAAGAAGCTGACTCCTTATACAAAAATGTCTTTCTATACCGACTTTCTTCCCCACCCCTTCAAAATCCAACGTATATAAACATAAAACAGCAATAGCTCACTGGCCCTCTCAACAGGACACGCAAGAATGGCACAATTACTCAGAAAACAAACACTGAGTGATTAAAAATACTTTGATTGAATATAAAAAATATGTTTTGCATTGTATAAATTTCCTTTTTTCCACATTCTACATGTATTAGTTAAATTTAAACAATGTTTGTAAATCCCAGGCCCTGAAGATGATCTCAATAAAGATCGAAACGTTGGCACGATAAAGAAAATGTTTTTCTGAAACCTACATCACACCAGACCGCATCTCACGATTTCTGAATAATCATCGACTAACGGTCATTAATCACCATACATTTATTTTTATTATGATAATCAAAATTTGTTGTTGATAAAAATTGATTTTATTTATTTATTGATAAACGCATTTAAGACAAAGGAAACTACAATTGTAAACATTAGAAGAAACATAGTTAAAGATTTACTAGAAGAAAAAAACCAACACATTTTTTCCTATGGTGCATTGAAATATGCCACCACCATTTCTCAACTAACATTTTTACCTTAAGGTGTCTCTAAAACTGACCCACCCTGTATACAAATCCGTACAAACTTACTCATAGTACTGATTTAATTGATATCAGTTGCTCTGGGGTATTTTTGTACCCCAGAGCATTTTTTTTTTAATGTCTTGTAGAATTTGCATAACTAAAAGAGTCTATAGTCCATAATCTGATTTTTATTTATATTTCACTTTTCATGTTTCCCATAAAACCCCTAACTCTTAAAATAATTTCACCACTGTAAATTTGATTACAGCAATGGAAGGAGCATTAAAAATCCTGTAAGATTTTTTTGTATCCTTGAGGAAACAAAGTACAAAATCAGTTAGAATATAGATTTTTCACAATTCTTGCTTAAAGTTGAGTAATATTTTTGTGGCTCAGTAAATAGGTTCAAAAACCAACCCCCCTTCCTAGTAGTGAAAGCTGGGAAACGTTCGTCGCCTGCCTAACAGGATGGTTCATAATTGATCATCCACGTCATGGCACGGTGCTAATAGGCTAAAGGAGATCTAGTGTCCTACCCTTTAAGTGGGGTACTTAAAAAACCACTCCTCACTAAATGAAGTCATACCAACCCCCCTTGTCCCAGCACCTGTCAGCATCCACTATCCCCTCATACACAGAATCCTTGGGCACAAAACAGCATCTGCCCCAATCAATGGTGTTATGCAAACTGTCCCGAGTGACTCATTGGCACCCATGGTTAAATGGCTTCTTGAACAGTGCCTCTCTGATGCTGGGCGACCTCAGAGAGTAATTAGCCTTACTCCATCATGCGGGGGGGGGGGCTCTGATGGGGTGGACCATTTTGTTCCTTAGCAACTCGTAGGAATCTTATGAGTAAAGAAAATGAAATTCAAACAAACCTGAAGCAGGACATCAGTGCTTCAAAAGGTCACAATTGACGTCTGGAGATTGACGTTCAGCCCACAAAACAAAAGGAGAAACTACNGATGCTACGTGGGAAACCAATCACAACACAAACGAAGAGCCCAGTACCTTCAAGTACACAGGAAGAAACACACCCCTCTTGGGAAACCAAAAGGGAAGAAAAAGGTTTTCGCAGAGCACGAAAACTAAGAGAGCCAGGCAGAAAAGATGATCCTCTCAGGGAGGTGCTATGACCAAATGATACCTGAGGGCGAAACAATCAAGGGAAACACCAGAGGAAGATGGTCAATGATAGAAAGGCCAAAATCCAAAAAGAAAAACTGGAGACAGGAGCAATGTTCATCCACCCATCCAGTGAAAGGGCTAGAGAGCTATCTCTAATCCCAAAAGAACTCAGATGAGAAAAGAAATAAAGCCATCCACATCCCAGGTACAGGACAGGGCCAAAGTTGTTGCTCCAAGTATCAGTTACGCTAATGCAACAAAAATGATACACCCTGGCCATTCTACCAGAGGAATACCCACTGGTAAAACTGACTACAGAAAAATTAACCCATCTGGAGGAAACCCTCATCAATGAAATTGCGAAAAGATGGGAAAACAAAATACAGTTTGAAGGAATACACTTCAGGGCAAGCATGAATGTCCTTGACTGTCAGGATGGCAAAACTGTAGAGTGGTTACAGGAGATAACTCCCAAATTGAAAGTTAGCAAGGAAAAGAAATTAGTAGTAAGATTGCAGAGGATGTTCCGTCCGAGACCTCATTCTATTGCAATGTTCTTCCCTAGGACAAAGTGGGAAAAGAACAGAAAACCCTAGGCATTGATCAAGGCACAGAGCAATGGGATCAGCGCTGAGGAGGGGAAAGTACACTCAGTTAAAGAGAAGGGGCCTGGGATTGTCATGTCCTGGGCATTGATGAAGTTTCATCAGAAACGATAATAAAAAAAAGGACGCACCCTCACTTATCATTTCGGGAGGCCCCTATAGGCTTGAAAAAGGGAGAAGGGGAGGAGGATACAAAAAGGGAGAAATCCCACACCTCCACCCCAATAATGCCCCCCCCCCCGCATTCAAATGTAGCAGGCCTCTGCAGTGATACCACCAACTGTGGAGACTACTTCCATAACCAGGTCCTCCTGGGAACCCAGACCCCTCCTATTTAGCCAGAAACAAGAATGCTCAGTGAGGAGGAGAAACCTCCACCTCCCCCAGTTCCCTTTCAGTTCTCATCTCAATCGATCAACCTCTCAATCGTTAACCTCAAGTGCACACCTCACCTAGCATTGAAAACCCTAAGTTTAGCCCTCTTGCACCCAAATCCCTGGACCCCGAAGTTTTCCCAAATTTTCATCCATTCCAAACCTTTTCCAGTGTTCCATCTACCCTGCAGGTCACCAACTTCACGTGGCGGGGCCTGTGGATCTCCATCAATACTTAAACATACAGTCCACAAAACCAAGTAAGTGTTCCTTTTTTTCTTACTTCCTATTTTTTCCTCATTTGATTTTTTTTTTTTTTTGCTAGCCCAAACAAGCTCAATATCCACAGGGGAAGAAGAAAAATTCTGTGGAGAAATATCCTTAGTATCAACAGCAACTAGATTACACAAAGCACTAGCAAAAGACAGAGTAGACATAAACACTGCCCTACCTAAAGAAAGCAGAGGGTAGCTATACAGAAGATGCAAAACAAAAAGCAATGCTTCTTCTAAGTATACATTTTCCAGGCAGTACTTATGACACACCCCTGGAGAATATGAGAGCACATAAACACAAGAAAGAAAACTGGAAGAAAGCAGCTGAAATATGCACAGAGAAAAAGATCCTCTGGGTGATCAACACTTTCAGCCCATATAAAGCGCCAGGAACGGATGAGATTCTTCCCATCATACTACAAAAAGGAGCAGGAATAATAATCCCAACACTGCTGCGTATACATAGAAGTATCTTAGCATTAGGCTATATAATACAGACATGGCATGAGGCAAGAGTAGTGTTCATACTAAAAATAAGGAAAGAGACCTACACTACCCAAATCCTACAGACCAATCGGCCTAACATCCTTTCTACTGAAAACACATGAAAAGCTGATATACAACCATATAAGAAGAGTGCTGAAAGACAAACTACTACCTCAGTGTCAACATGCATATATGCATAGAGCATGCTTTGTACCAGTTAACTAGTGACCTGAGGGAAACACTGGAAGTAAAGGAAATTGCAATCTGCGCATTCCTCAAGATTGAAGAAACCTTTAATAATGCATCTCATGCATCCATAGGGAAAATACACTAGATCAGACCACGTCTAGATGGATTGGAGAAATGTTAAGAACCAGAAAAGCTGAAACGAGCATAGGAAAAACACTACACAAGTCAGCACAACCAAGGGATGTCCACAAGGAAGGGTATTGTCACCTCTTCTATGGAGCCTAACAGTTGATGAACTGCTCGAAACTCTGGACCATGAAGGAATAAAGTGTGAGGGCTATGGGGATGATATAGTCCTGGCACCACATGAGGCAAATAACACTCAATAATACTGTGATAGAAATTTAAAAAGAGGTTAAATATCTGGGCATCACTGTAGGTAAGACATTGATATTTAAGGAAAATATCGGCTCCTCCATCATGAAGGCAACACAAGCTTTGATGGTATGCAAAAGAATAGCGGGGAAAAACTGGGGAAGAAGACCAGAAACTCATGTTCTTACACGAGGAGGCATAAGCCTGGGCTGATAAAGCAGATCAAGTAACCAAATGAAAAAAAACACAAAAATACATATACACACAAAAATACACATAAATACATACATCTGTGTAACAGGAGCGATGAGAATATGTCCCGCAGTTGGTATGGAAATGATATTGGGATTAATACCCCTATATCACATGATAATGAGGACAGCACAGAAAACTATTATTAGTATTATTAAAGAGAAACCTCCAACAGGAATAAAAGTAAAATGGAGAGATAGCAACAACATAATGAATGACCATCCAATTATCAAGGCTCCAAGAGACGATGTGAACGGGATGTTTGAATTTGATCAAAACTTCCAAATAAATTAGGTACCAAAAAAGAATGGAAAAGAGAGAAAAACACCTCCTTTAAGAATGGCACCATCTATAGGTTACCCAGATGAATCTAGAACACAAGAAGGTACAGGGGCAAGTAGGAGTAATCGGTCCCGGAACCAAATACTCAGAACCCATGGGAAAATACACCAGAATCTTCCAAGCTAAGGTCAACACAATCGAGAGATGTACTCAATTCAACTTGAATAAATGGTACAAAAACTCTTAACATAGCTACATAGCCAAGCAGCCATCAAACCACAAAGCTCGAACATCAAAAGTTCAAAGATGGTGTTGAACTGCAAAATCAAACAAACAGTTTAGGTATGCTGAACAGTCAGTCTCTGCTGGGTGTAGAAGGCAATGAGAAAGCGGACACGCTTGCAAGAAAAGGGGCTGATATACCGCTGATAGGACACTACCAATGAGTACCTCAGACAGAAGGTTAAAAAGAAAATGAAGGAACAATGGAACCTTCTCATTGGACACAAACAATCCAAGAACTCTTACCAAATTTCAGAAGGAAAGAAGAATAGAATTTATCAAAGGAAGCAGAAAAAACTGTGAATCCTAACAGGATTCTTAACAGGACACGACAAACTAAACAGACATTTAAAGAAGATTGGCATGACCCAACAAGGCATGTGCAGATTCTACAAAGAAGCAGAAGCAACACCTGGCACTATACTTGCCCACAGGAGGAAGTGCTTTGGGACATACAATGTGACCAAGAAATTCAATCACTGAAACTGGGCCTACTAATCGAATTCCTTAATGAATTAGGGCTCACCGGTGAGCTATAGGCAGAACAGAGGATACAACTCTTAAAGGCCGCATATATTACACACCCTGACTGATACATCTACATCTACAAATACTGGCAAATATGGCACTTGCAAAAACATTGTCCCTACTAATAAGCTTTAAAGAAATGTATTTAATTTCTCAAAAGGCTATTTCACCCGTGTAAACATTTAAATGCTAAAAATTTGATTTTTTTGGTTACAAATGTTGGTACAAAATTGAACATAAGCAAATACAAGCTGCTAAAAATTACACTCAATGTTGAAAAAGAATACAAGCCGGGGAATGTTTCCACATAGATTTTACTGTTTTTTAAAGTACATTGTGCTTCTGTCAGTCTCATAAGACTGCCTCATAGAAATGATTCAGGAATCCAGTCCTCTCACGAGAGAAGAGAAGCAGTATGAACTCTTGAGAGCAGTAAAATCTGTCAGGAAACAGTGCCAGACTTTTATTCTTCAAGAAGGTGAAAATTTTGAACAATTAACTCTCGCACGATGATGAGTTTTTCCTCTTGTGTCATCTATTTTTCATTTGTTTAATCTATCCTCCAATGTATTCCTCTATTAGGTCTTTGCTGAACGTGAAGTAATTTTGTTTGAAAATTTTTGAACAAAAATGGTTATTGCCCTTTGTACAGTTAAAAAGATGTGTGGGTTTATTTAGATACCCTGATCACGGGCCATGATATAATGTTTTTCCCGTAGAAATTTGTTTGGTTGTTTTCAAGTAAAATAAGTGTTAATATAAGTCAATTTCCTCACTCTGATAGGAAAAAGTACCACTTAGCCCTACTACCCACACGCTAATCCCTTACCTTTCATCTATTGTCCTGTTTTTTCCATTTACCCCAAAGCTCTCACTTTTCAGTTTGTATTCAGTTTCAGTGTTTTATACTTGCATGGATGACAGTTTGAAAGTTTCCTTGGCATAAAGAACAAAACATTTTTCTTGACTATCTACATTATCTGCTCTGGTAAACATTTAGCGGTGACCAAAAAATGGGAATGTATTGTTGGAAATTCAGAACGTAATAATTAGGAAATAAATAAATCTTACAGAATTTTTAATGTACTTTCCAGTGCTATAATCAAATTTACAGTACAGTAATTATTTTATGAGATTTGGGAAAAAAGGATTTGGAAAAAGTCATGAAAGTTGAAGTAACATGAAAAATGAAATATCTCGAATATAAATGAGAATCAGTCTATGAACAACAGACACTTTTTAGACTCATTTAATATGTAGAGTTACCTTCTGCAGTATTGACATCTGTTAATGGGACACCCTAATATAAATACATTATTACAAATTACAATACCCAAGTTTCTTTTTGCCAAGTGGTTGTCTAATATTTTTTTATCTCTAAAAGATAAGTCCTAAAGATTTTTTGTAAAATAAATGTGGAAAATGCTATACCACAGGATCCCCCAAAAAAATAAAATAACTAAGCCTATTAAAATGAAACATTTGACTATATTTAATTGGTCATTTCACAAAATAAATAAATAAATAAATAAAATAAACTAATAATAATAATTACCTGACATTCTGGGTAGGTGTCCACCTTTCACAAGGTAACTCGCCTGACTGTGGATCATCAACCGGAGGATGTAAAATGGAAATGCAAATGTCTCCATTCTAGAATTACAAAAATAATTGTAAATTAATTAAACAAAATTAAGCAATAAATACAAAAATATAGAAATTACCTCATAAACATTTGGATGCCACACTTTTGTGAGAAAACGGATACTAGGAGGAGAATATGGATAGTCAGGAGGAAATTTCATATGCGCCTGCAATAAATAATAAAAATTATTTACAGTAAATTAAAATTTAGAAAATGTACAAACATAAATATTTTATTTTATGCCAATTTTATTATTAAAATTGTATCATATATAATTGACAAGTGTTTTCATAGATGCTTAATTACATTTCTTTAAATTTAGGTAATTGGTTAAATTGGTGTTTTGGCTATTTTGATTACGCCCAATTTATCATGTAAAATAGCTCTCTGGTATTTAAAAATAATGTAATTTTATTACGTCTATCTAAGTGATATAATTTATATGACCCAATATTGCGTCTCCGCAGCGCTAAGTAGACGAAGTAAGCAACAAGCAGAGCGTTTGTTCAATTTGGGGGTGTAGCTGAATAAATCGGTTTAAAGTGTTAGATGCATTGACTCCTTTTTTACTCAAGAATAATTTAAGACCTCGGTATGGTCTGTATGAAGAAACAAATTCAATTGTCATCTGCCAAGCTTTTGACCCCTTTTAAGGTAATCATCAGGGCAAAACTATCTTAAAGATGTCTACAAATGGACAAAATTAAATTTGATAAATGGGTTGAAATACCTTTCAAAGACCAACTCAGTCCCAACATTGCCAAGGACTGTAATAGACAGTTAAATAGAGTGTGGTTACAGTCCCTTGCAATGTTGTAAAAAATTTGAAACCATCTATTAACAACTTAATTATGTCAATTTGTAGACATCTTTAAGATTGTTTTGCCCTGATGATGTCTTAAAATAGGTATAGAGCTTGGCAGATAACAATTGAATTTTTTTTTCCATACAGAGACCTACTAACATAGTTTTTCTGTTTGTTCGTATCAAATTTCGACCCAGAACAACATCACACAAACTGGATTCTTCATAAAGGCAAATTCCAAAAAAATCATTAAAATAAAAAATATCTGTAACGGACAAGTGTTATTAGGAAACATTAATGTAAATAAATTAGAAATCCCTGAAGGAGTGATTATCATAAAAAACAACACAGCCCTTTGTGTGGTGAGAAAAAACACCGATAATAATATAGAAATAAAGTTTGAGCACCCGATTATGTTTGAAAACATCAATGACTTCATTGTACAAAAAAATACTAACAACTTCAACATGATGACTCAAACCAAACCAAACTTTGACCCCAATAAAATTAGAACATTTAAATTCAGAAGAAAAAAATGCTATAACCAACCTAGTGACATAATTTTCTGACATTTTCTACTTAGACAGAGATAAACTAACCTTCATAAAACAAATTACGCACAAAATACAAACCATAGATGAAATACCTGTCTACTCTAAAAGTTACAGATGCCCGCAAATATTTAAAGATGAAGTAAATAACCTAATAGAAAAAATGTTAAAACAAAATGTAATATGACCATCATTTTCCCCATACTCAGCCCCAGTTTGGGTTGTCCCCAAAAAACTTAACGCTTCTGGATGAAAGAAATGGCGCTTTGTCATAGATTACTGCAAGCTCAATGAAAAAACTGTTGAAGACAAATATCCCATACCAAACATAACAGACCTACTCGACAAGTTAGGCTGATGTAATTATTTCACGACAATTGAACTTGCATCAGGTTTCCATCAAAATGGAGAAAGACAGTATATAGAAGATCACATTTTCAATGGAAAGTGGACTACATGAATTCCTACGAATGCCTTTTGGACTAAAAAACTTCCTGAGGATGTTCCAAAGAACAATGGCCCATGTATTACATGAACTAAACAACAGGATATGCACAGTATACCTAGATGACATAACTGTATTCAGTACACGCTTACAAGAACATATAGACCGACTACTACAAGTCTTCCAACGGTTACCAGACACAAATTTCAAAGTCCAATTAGACAAGACCAAATTCCTAAAACACTACGTCAGTCATCCCCCCCCCCAAAAAAAAAAAAAAAACAACAACCAAACAAATAAAAGGATTTCTCGGACTATTGGGTATTACAGAAAACTTATCCCCAACTTCTACACCTGATGCAACTTCTACACCATTAACAAACCATTAACAAAATGTTTAAAAAAAAAAGCGCAAAAATAGACATACACGACCAAGAATACCTGGAAACATTTAACATGCAAAAATTAATCATCAATGAACCTATCCTAAAGTACCCAGACTTTACCACAACATTCCACTTGACCACTGACGCTAGTAACATAGCGTTTGGGGTTGTCGTGAGCCAAGACTTTGACTGTTCAGACTTACCTGTAGCATATGCTAGCCGAACACTTTCAGACACTGAAACAAAATTATCTACAATAAAACATGAACTTCTAGCTATCGTATAGGCAGTAAAATACTTCAGGCCCTACCTATACAGAAAAAAATTCCTATTTTCTCACCATTGCAGTGGCTTTTCTCAATAAAAGACTCTGTATCAAAATTACTGCGATGGAGACTAAAACTGGAAGAATATAACTGTGAGGTTAAATACAAAACAGGACAATTAAATTTAACGCAGATGCTCTATCTAGAGTAGAAATACACATAAACGAAGGAAACTTTCTCAAACCCGAGATTTCACGTTCACAAACTCTAGACCTGGACAAAATCTTAACAGAAGTGCTAGAAGACAGAAATGTAAGCTCACCAAACAAAAAAGTTAGTGTCCCACTGGTCAAAGAATTACTTAACGTTTACAAAATCGACACACATTTTACCCGCACATAACATACACGATCAAATGGGATGATAGAACAACTACACTCCACAGTAGCAGAGCACACACGAGTACTCAAAAATAGAGAAGAATTCAATGATCAGAATATGGAAGACAAACTTAATTATGCTATATTTGCCTACAACAGTACGACATATTCTGCCACAAAGCACACACTACTTCGAATCCACAGTGGCCACATAAATAGAGACTCCCTACTAGATATAAATGTAGACAAACAATTAATTAAAGACCGCATAGCAACCCACAGAGAACGAGCTATTATTACATGAGAAGATTAGGGAATTAAGCCAAATCAACAAAGAGAAATCTTCTAACAAACGGAACGAAAACAGGGAAACCCTCCTGAAATCCCCAAAGAAGTTTACATGCAAAACGCACAAAAACAGAGCAAAACCAAAGATCGTTACAAACCAGAAGAGATAGACTGTTTCCGAGAATGTGCATGTAGGTCGTCTTTGGGCAAAAAGGACAGCTATGGTTTTCAACATCAAAATTTAAAGCCTTTTTCTAATAACCACTTACTTACATCATTTAATGCATTTTACGTATAGTGTTGAAGAGTTTCAATATTTTTACTGGTAGAAAATAAAACAACATTATATTAGCATACAACATTACTTCAACTGGGAAATTGACACACTCTAAGACTTTATTAATGGCAGCGCAAAACAACATAGCACTTAATCTCTTAACAATCTTGCAGCACCCTGTTTTCTTGAGCAAACTCGCCTGAGACAGTACCACCGCACCTGACTCTAAAACTTATATTTTTCAAGAAATTTTCTATGAATTTCATAACATTCCCAGTAATGCCGAAACTTAAAAGGGTATCTAAAATTGGCCTTCTCCAGGTACAATCAAATGCATTCTCCAAGTCAAGAAACACTGCTAGCTAGTTTTCCTTTTTACTGAAAGATTCGCAAATAGCATTCTCTAACTTTGTAAGATTATCCCTCGTACTTCTCCCCTGTCTAAATCCACTTTGCCAAGCTGGTAATAAGACTATCTATCGTACTCTAAAAACCAATGAACCCTGCTAGAGATAATTTTTTCTACCAGCTTACACATGGAGCATGTAATAAATATTAAGCGATAACTGGTCACCTCTGGTGCAGGTTTACCTTTCTTTAAAATAGGAATAGCAATGGCTGTAGAAAAGATTTTAGGAAATATACCAGAGACAAAAATTCTGTTTATTGCTTTTAGCACGGTTTGTTTATCGCTGTTTGCCAGAGTTTTGATGAAGGAAATACAAATGTTATCGGTCCCGGCGATGTATCTTTGCGCGAATTTAGTACTGTAATGAATTTGACTTCACAGAGTGGTTTGCTCAAAGGATTGGTTTGGCTGCATGATGCACCACAAAAGGGATAATCTCATGCCGTGCCTTTATTTCTTTAAATATAGTGGAATAATTTGAAGTAGCCGAAATTTTGTGAAGATGTTGGGCAAAAGGATCAGCAATTTCTTTAGATTCAGTTAGGAAGCCATCGTTATCTCCTTTAAGGGAGGTAATGAGTGGGCTGTAACTGCATCCTTTAATTTTTTTATCGTGTCCCAATAAACAGACATATTGAGCATGCTTTTCTGCCACATTATAATTTCCTAAAATTTCACTGGAAGGTTGTCTTAGGAAAATACTAAGGCATTTTTTCCTATTTTTGGTCGCTTGCCAAGTCTTCATTCCACCAGGGAACTGTGACCTGATTGATTTGCCAAGTGCCAGGCCCCTGATAACGATTCTTTAAAAAAGTATGAACGATAATTGGAAAATGATCAGAACCATGTGAGTCTTTTAGACTTTCCCATTTCAAAATGGGTTGCAGAGTTGGACTTGCAAGACTAAGATCTATTACTCAAGTTTTATCAGACCTAGAACAAAAATGTGTTGGAGATCCATCATTTAATAAGTTTAAGTTACATACATATATAATTAATTAAACGGACTTTCCTGAAGTATTCGTTTTATCCCTACCCCATAATGGGTTGTGGGCATTAAAATCACCAAGAATAATGACGGATTGTGGAAGTTGATTGAAAGCTATAAATAACTCCTCAAGTATTACTAAGTCCCCTCTAGGATGGTAGAGGGAACAAACCGTGAATTGAGGAGGGGTAAGTATCCTGGCAGCTATGATTTGTAGTCCAGAATCTAAGTCAATTTGTGAATATGGTACGTCATCTCTAATTACTACGACACCGCCACAAGCAATCTGGCTGTCAGTACAATCCTTTCTTAGTAAAGAGAAATTTGTAAAGTTAATTTTATCAGAGGTTAGTTTCCTGTAAGCATGCTAT